TTTGTCAAACGGTGTCTTAAATCAGATCCATTTTAAGCAAGAATTCCAGAATGAATAAGTGTCACAAGCTGTATTTTTCAATTATATGCATATTTGTTTCCTTGGTTCAAAAGCATATAAATTTGTTCAGACTTATTTTTATCTATAATAATACTGTTAAGTAGAAGAAATTGCATATGTTTTAAGTTGAAGTAACATTTCAAACTAAGATGAAGTTTTAGTGATGTTTAATGTTTTAAATCTCAGAGTGTTTGAAGAAACTGACACAGATTTACAGGAGCTTCAGGCCTCAATGGAGCAGTTGCTTAGGGAACAACCTGGTGAAGAATACAGCGAGGAGGAAGAGTCCGTCTTAAAGAACAGTGATGTAGAGCAGACTGCAAATGGGACAGATGTGGCAGATGAGGAAGACAATCCGAGCAGTGAGAGCGCACTAAATGAGGAATGGCACTCAGGTGCATGATCATGGTTAAGAATCTTTTTCTTTTTCAGTGTGTACAAGCATTGCAAGTAGAGCCATTTCCACCTTTAAAACTGAAGCATGCTTCTGTGTCTCTGCCTGCTTCATTTGTTTTTCTTCACAACAAATTCATATGACAGTTACTCCATTTCTTCTCCATTACATTATGGTAATGATTATCTGAGCATTTTATTATGGTATTTGTTTTCCATTTCTTGACTTATTATTCAGTAACAAAAATAATTAGTTTTACAGTGCTTTTCTAAAATTTTGTGATATGTATCTTGGATTATCTGCCTTTTGTATACCTTCTCATGTTATGTCCCATGGTTATAATCAACTTTATAGTAGTTAATTTTAGTTGATTCAATGCAGCTCAAACAAGTATGCTTTTAACATTTTTACTAAATTAACATTAAATAATGACATTTCTAGAAATTATTTTATTCTAACCCAATTTACTGTTTGTCTATAAAAGAAAAAATTTCCAAATTAACATTCTAGTTAAGATAGATTTATATATGCTTAGATTACCTCAGTAATTGACAAATATTATGGTAATGACTGATTATATTAAAGCAGAAGTAGTCTACTTCAATGACATAATTCACTCACCAAAGAATTTTAGTGTATTAGTATAAGAATTATTACATTATTTTTTAATCATAAGATAACTTTTTATTTATTTCTTTAGATAACAGTGATGGTGAGAATACTAGCGAATGTGACTATGATAGTGTCTTTAATCATTTAGAGGAACTAAGACTTCACCTGGAGCAAGAAATGGGCTTTGAAAAGTTCTTTGAGGTTTATGAAAAAGTAAAGGTAAGCAAAATGAGAATTAATTTACTTTTGAAATTCACTCTGAACACTAAGGAAGTAATGATTATCTTTATTGGTTACTAGATTTGTAGTAAGTGAAGTCTCCATTTAGAGACAGGTAGTATTCAAATATTAATTTATATTTGGAAATTTGGTGCAGGCTATTCATGAAGATGAAGATGAAAATATTGAGATTTGTTCAACAATAGTTCAGAATATTTTAGGAAGTGAACATCAGCATCTTTATGCCAAGATTCTTCATTTAGTCATGGCAGATGGTGCCTATCAAGAAGGTAAGAACATGCACAGGAAATCAATGCGAGTCAACTCCCTGTATAGCTATCTTATCTCAACTAGCAGAAACCCTTGTCTTCCTATTATTGCTTATATTCTTGTCTTCAACAAAATTAGAGATAAGGGCAAAATAGTTTTCTGCTGGGTAGCAAGGCGGTAGGGGGGAGAGGGAGGGAGTGGGGGAAGGGGGGAGAAATGACCCAAACATTGTATGCCATATATGAATAAAATAAATTAAAAAAAAAAGGCAAGATTCTCTCATGCCTTTATATTTAGATAAATGTGAAACAGACAAGATGACAAATGTAAGTGATAGTCTACATCACATGAATTTTGGTGAAAGCTGTATCAGAACCATGTCAATTTTAATTGATTATAAAATTAACTCTGATTTGTCACATTGATAGGTTCTTTGAATAAGACTTTTTAAAAAGAAAAAAGCCTCCTCATTGAACAGGTCTAGAAATTAATAATTCTACCAAGGATGTATCATTAAACTTTTAAACATAAAGAAGTATGTAAAGTTTTCATAAAGTTCATTTTTAATATTTGCCCCCAAATTAAAGGCTTAGTTCAGAGTCTAATTGAGGATGTTAAATGTTGATGGTTAATTTTAGCAATATAAATTTTGATAGAATTCATTATATTCTATCTTGTTACCAAAAATGTTTAAAATTACATTTAAAAATATATACAGGTATAATATAAATTAACTTATAAAATATTTTGTGAAGTCAGAATATTGGATGAAATGAATACAAACAATATTGAATCCAGGAATGAAGTAGAATATAAAGGTCTCTACTTTTCTGAAAACAGAACACAAATGTGGTATTTATATTTCTAGTAAAGCAGGAACTTAATTGAGTCACAGTGTTATGGGACAGAGATAATTACGTCAGAAGACAACTGCTTTTGGCATTGAAACTAATGAAAATTTTTTTTCATAATTCTCTTTTTTGTTGTTTTGTATTTTGAGTTTGGGGGAGTGGTTTTTTGGTTGGGAGGGGGTTGGTTTTTTGTTTGCTTTTTCAGTGCTGGGAGTCAAATCAGGGTGTTGCACATGCTAGGCAGGTGCTCTGCCACTGAGCTACTCTGAACCCATTGCAGAGTGATTTGGAGACAGCCTTGCTGAATAGTATAGGTTGGCCTCAAATTCTTATCCTCCTCCTGCTCTGCCTTCTGATGCTGGATTATAAGCATACACCAGTAGGCTAGCCCTCTCATACTTGGGGTGGGGAAAAAAGGAACATCATATCGTGTTCCTCAAAGTTCAATAGATCCTTTTAAGGGAAAAAGTTGTTTTGTGATTTTTTTCCAGGCAAAAGAATCCAAAGGTCCAGAGACCCAGTATACACTCAAGTGTTAGCATTTAAAAATGTCAGTTGTCACCTAAAACTAGCTAGCATTTGTTGCCTTAATGCAGAGAAACTAAAGCAGATACCTTAAAGCAACTGAGGCCAATAGGAAAAGGGGACCAGGAACTAGAGAAAAGGTTAGATTAAAAAGAATTAACCTAGAAGGTAACACCCGACAGGAAATCAATGTGAGTCAATGCCCTGTAGCTATCCTTATCTCAACCAGCAAAACCTTGTTCCTTCCTATTATTGCTTATACTCTCTCTACAACAAAATTAGAGATAAGGGCAAAATAGTTTCTGCTGGGTATTGGGGGGGGAGCGGGAGGGGGTGGAGTGGGTGGTAAGGGAGGGGGTGGGGGCAGGGGGAGAAATACCAAGCCTTGTATGCACATATGAATAAATAAGAAAAATGAAAAAAAATAAAAAAAATAAAAAAATAAAAGATTTATTTTTTAACTGATAAAAAAAAAATAAAAATAAAAATGTCAGTTGTGAATTATTACTGCAAAGCAGATGTTTTATTTTTCTTACTATTTTAAAAAATTATCAAAATTAAAATCTAACATTTAAACATTATTTGGAAACGGTGGTTCATGATTTTAACTGAGATTTTTGAACTCCATCTTATAAAACAATGCTATAATAAATGAAAACTATCCTCAGTGATTTTAACAATACTTGGTTTCATGGGGCTATTTCTCATGATACATCATCATGTAAGTTAACGGTATGAGGCTAGAGAATGATTCCGCTTAAGTAAATCTGTGGAGAGTATCAAACCAGTTCTGTTCATTATCAGACTGTTCGTCCTCCAGGCAGTTCTCCACAAGTACTGTTTTGTGGGATTTTCCCCAGTATCTGTAGCAATTGCTCAGGCTTCAGTTTTGCTTGACAAGTATCTGGAGAGCTTTTCTTTTCCTTTACCCTTAGTGAGAACTGTAACAGTCACCTGAGCCACAAAGTAAAAGTGATAGTCTTTTAGACAACTGAGTGACTCAAGAACGATACATACCTACATTCAAGGTCATTCCTCCTGCAAAGGACCAAGATCAGGCTAGGTTAATACATCCCTCAAAAAGCAGATTTTTCTCTGGCCTGCAAATGAAAAGGAGATGAGGAGCCTGAAGTTCTGTGTCATAGAGCCTGGCAGTAATTTCTTTAGCCTGAGGGATGGGAGGTGTTAAGCAATTAAAGCCAAATAGCTACCTTTAAAAACAAGGGAAAAAAAAAACTGGTAACCTTAAAAAAAAAAAAAAAAAAACTTAGTCTAGCCCATAACATGTTTTAACCTACTAATGTAGCCAATAAAAATTCAGATTGTAAAATGTGTTCTGAGTGACTTACTTGCTGTTTTGTATGGCTAGTCATCAGATAGTTAAATGTTAGACAATGACTACATTTTGAGTAACTGTGGGAAGCCCTTCTTACTGCAGTTATTAGACCCCATAATATATCTCAAAGATAATAAAGACACATCACATCTACGTATGGTCTTTATACATTTTTATTCTCTATGTCAGGGGGAAGGAGAGGGCAAAGAAGGGAGGATTTGGCAAAATTTTATCTAGCTCACTCAAAGTGATATGAATTCATTAAGGTACATGTTAAAATGATTGTCTAAACCCATTTCTGTTTTATTTCACTGGAAATTGAGTCCTGAAAAGTCAGCTTTAACTAGACTGTTACAGCACAGGTTTGGTAAGCATTAATAATAGCAGCTGTTGATAAAGCTAACACTGCTTAGTCTGTAGTTTAGTACTCTCCAGAGCCAGAAGGAAGTCATTGTTCCTACTGAGTTCCTCCACAAGGAGAGGAGTATAATTGTGCCCAGTTGTAAACTGGCAGGGGCCACCAAGTCCTTACATAGCACTCAAGCATGTAGATTCTTAAAGGAAGCACATACATTCCTCCTCATTCATTTTAGTTGGAATATTGTGCTCGCGTTTATGTAATGAATTCCCATAGCAATTAAAATGAAGAACCAAACTTCTATCAATATGATATGCCCACAAATATGATGAATTGAAAAAGTAGTAATATGATGCCATTTTATAAATGTCTAAAAGCAATTTTATTTAGCTGTACATACATTTAATAAAGTCAAAAACCATGAGCAAGAAGAATATACATTATTGCTAGTGCTGAAAAATGTTCTAAGTAAAAAAGAGAGGGTAACAGTAAAAAAAAAAAAAAAAGGTAATTTATCTATAATATGCTTTTCTCTTTAACCCAAACCAGTAGAGCCAAAGTTAACTTTTTATTCATTCTGGGTAAGTATATGTGTGTTCATTGATTTCCTGATTATTTAAACATTTTTAATTGCAAAATTTTGAATAAATAATAGTACAGGTGAAATAAATGTGGCATTGGAAGCAATAAAAATGTGAGTTGCATAAAGATCCAGTTCTATTGGAAGAAATAACAGTGCCAGGGTAGATCTTCCCAGGAAAAGATATCACAGTTAGATTTTCAGAGATGAATGTATATGAACTTATACATAGCAGGACACAGAATGTTGTAGTAGGGGAACTAAAAGCACTTTTGGGTTAATAAAGACAAATTGTGGGGCAGTTGAGCATAGTGGAGATTGAAAAGTTAGTAAGACTGGAAATATTTAAAAGGCCAGATGAATCCATATTAAGAAGCATAGATTCTATCATGACAGGAGGAAGCTAGTGAAGGGTTTTAAACCAGTACAGTGACTTCATGATACTTGAATTTTAATGTGAAACTAAATATATGTTTATAAGATATAAGTTAAGCTTTGTTTCATTCATTCAACGGTGCTTTTGCTGTGGTTTTAAATAAATAAGAATAATTTGTTTCATTATGCTATATTCATAAAAGAAATATTATGCAGACATTAAATTGACATAGGATATATCCATGATTTATTCTTTTTACATATTCTGTGAAATTTTCATCATATAAAAGGTTGAAAGAACTTTACAGTGATTGTGTGTGTACGCATAACATAGATTATGCCATTAACATTTTAGAAACTTGCTTTATTTATCATCTTGCTTGCATTTACTTATCTATCATTCCATTCATTAGATGGTTCAAGGAGAAAAACTCATGTCTCAAAATTGCATTTTTTAAAAGATATTTGTGCATGCATAAGAAAGCAACTAGGAGATTTTATATATAATTACTAACATTGGTTGTCTTTCCGTGATGATTTGTGCTTCACACTTTTTGTGATGTCTGAATATTTTACAATGATTATGTGCTATTATATAAAAATTACATTTAAAACTGCATTAAAGTTATTTCCTTTAGTGTGAAAAATAATGAATTTTTAACTAAGTAGATATCTAGTTTGAGTTGAAGTGAATTAATTTTATTTTTCTTTTTTCTACAGATAATGATGAATAATCCTCAGGACATTCTTTAATTCTCAACCATATGAAAGTATTTGAATTTGGCTTATAAAGAATAACAAGCTTCAGTGGGAAATTTAGAGATCATTTATAAGAAATATCAGATTTAAGAAGGGCATGCTTATTGCATGAAACCGATGGAGAAATACAGATTTTCAGTTAAGATTCTAGCATTTGTCTGTTTTTATTTTTATGACTTCTTAGTTAAGTCCTGTAGAATATATACTTCATTAATCATTCAACTAAAGTATAAATGCATTGATTCAGAACTGGAATTACAGTTTTGAAGATATATCATGGAATATAGGTAACTTTGACTTTCAACAAATGTCTTTAGGTTGAAGGAATTACCTGTTTCATGAAAGCTTGCTGGTGGTTTTTCAATTTAAGTATTTTAAGCATGACCCTTTTTCTATCTAATACTTGTTTTCATCCTGACTGACCACCACTTCTGTGTTAAGTAATCCTCGTCAAGGGCTCTATTAAATCTTTACATTTTGAAGTGGAATTTTTAGCCTTAAAATTTATATTCTCAGTCATTTTCAAGCAGTATGTCTCCTGAAGTAGTTCAGTAGAACAGGCTGTAGAAAGTCTTAGAAATCATTGAGAGATTTGATTATAAAAGAATAGCAAATTATATTTCCTGATTTTAAAAAAGTTGATTATTCTTCTGTTTCTCTTTAAGTATCAGAACCAGGAATATTATATCTAAAAATTAGGCTGTGATTTTAATTTTCATCTAGTATAACAGCATAAAGTTGCCCTTTAGCTTTTATATTCCTCTCATGCATGTTCTTCAATGACAATCAAAGTTTAAAAAGGAAAAAGGAATCATTTTTATTTTGAACGCTGTGACAGTTGGGTAACTGTGATGGGAAAATGTTTGCCCTTTTACTTATTCCCATTATGAGAGGATTTAGTCAGATCATTAAGATGATGGTCACATAGCTTCAAATACAATATGCCTGGTATTACATGGCTTCATTTGAGTGTTACAGTCCAGATGTTTTTAGTAATAAAAGTAAATTTTGAATCTCTTAAGAACAAAGCAGCCTGATTGGCAATAATCTATATTTGAAAAATAAAGTCTTATTTTGCATCACTATGGTACTATGTTGAATTTCTTATGTATATTATTTCTAAATGCCTAAGTAGTTTTGATTTTCATATGTTTATTTATATTACTATTAAATTTTTATTATCTACCTAAAGTGCACTATTGATTGTCTTTTATTTTATTAGTAACTGTGCTTTTATATAGAACTGAAAATTGTTTGGTTTTGTACCTAATGATTTCTTTTCCTTTTTTTTTTTTTTGTGTGGTGTATGAAAGAATATTAAATTCTACATTTAATTCTCTATAATCTGAAAAGTGGAAGTGATTTTTTGGAGGATCTAATTAATTTTAAAGCTATTAAAACCATGAGAAAAGGAAATAATGGTGTAGCATAGGAAAAAAAGCTTGTTTAGCCACATTTGAAAGCTATTTTGTAGAGACAAAGATGACAAGCAGGGTTTGTGCCTTCTTTAGTCAATTGGTAGTGAATGGCTCAGAAGTGTTAATATGAAAAGGTGTGCCAGTGGGCAAGAGAGAGCTGTTATTGTACAGTAATATCTATTATAGTGTTGGTGATAAAGTGGAAGCATCTGTGGATTCACAGATTGTTAGAACTGAAAGGAGTTGTTAGGATCATTTAGTCTTATCTCCATTTAATAGGTAAGGACATTGATTATAACAATGAAATTGAGTCACATAAAGAGTCACAGTTTCCCCACCTGACAAATGGATTAAGAAAATGTGGTATCTATACACAATGGAATTTTATGCAGCCATGAAGAAGAACGAAATGTTATCATTGCTGGTAAATGGATGGAATTGGAGAACATCATTCTGAGTGAGGTTAGCCTGGCCAAAAGACCAAAAATCGTATGTTCTCCCTCATATGTGGACATTAGATCAAGGGCAACACAACAAGGGGATTGGACTTTGAGCACATGATAAAAGTGAGAGCACACAAGGGAGGGGTGAGGATAGGTAAGACACCTAAAAAATTAGCTAGCATTTGTTGCCCTTAACGCAGAGAAACTAAAGCAGATACCTTAAAGCAACTGAGGCCAATAGGAAAAGGGGACCAGGAACTAGAGAAAAGGTTAGATCAAAAAGAATTAACCTAGAAGGTAACACACACCACAGGAAATCAATGTGAGTCATCCCTGTATAGCTATCCTTATCTCAACCAGCAAAAACCCTTGTTCCTTCCTATTATTGCTTATACTCTCTCTACAACAAAATTAGAATAAGGGCAAAATAGTTTTCTGCTGGGTATTGAGGGGGTGGGGGGAGAGGGAGGGGGAGAGTGGGTGGTAAGGGAGGGGGTGGGGGCAGGGGGGAGAAATGACCAAGCCTTGTATGCACATATGAATAATAAAATAAAAAAAAAAAAAAGAGTCACAGTTTGGCCAGATTTCAGGTCTTACACTGTGCTATTAGCTGCACATTCTTTTAAATTTTGTCCCCTCGATAGTGAAAAATAATTTTGCTAGGAAAAAATTACATAGAATTAATGCATTAAAATTTTTATGGGTATTTCCTGTTTCCTGTTGTCTGCTGTAAACAGTTTAAATGGTAAAGTTAGTTTTGTTTTTGTTTTTCAAAAAATCCCTTATCACTTTATTAAATCTTTCAAGATTGTGTGTCTGGCTGTCTATGCTTCATATAAACTGCAGAAATACAGATGAGGTAAAAAAGATGAACTTGGAGGCAATGCTTTGAAAAAAACCTCAAGCCAAAAAGATAAATGGAATCTCAGAGAGAATAAAGTTACTTTTGACCTGAAAGAGTTTCCAGTATCTTACACTTTGATATAGTGGATTCATGGGGCAAAGAGGGCAGAAGACAAGGCCAGGGGCCTTTCAAAGTGGAGAATCTACAGGAAACACTTCATTAAGATGGGACTGCAAAAGATTACATCTTCACAGTATGGGAGACTAAAACTAAACCCAAGCCTGAATTTTGGACTATAAGAAGAGATTAAGAATCCTGCCCCTCCCCTATGAAACAATCAAAGTTGTGACCAAAGGCCATCCTTCAAATGATTTTGAGCCTGAAACACCAAAGTCCTGTGTTGTCCCAGGAACTTTAGATTCAAACATAAGTTGAGGTGGACTCCAACTACTAGTGATCCCTGAACCTGGCAGAACCACTCTAGTTCCTCTCTGAAGGAAGACACATTTATTCTTTGTCTTTAAGAGCACCATAAGCTGGGCAGTGGTAGCTCAGGTCTGTAATCCTAGCTACTCAGGAGGCAGAGATCAGGAGGATAGTGGTTTGAAGCCAGCCCAGACAAACAGTTCTCAAGACCCTATTCAAAAACCCTTCACAAAAGGGCTGATGGAGTGGCTTAAGGTGTAGGCCCTGAGTTCAAGCCCCAGTACTGCAAGGAAAAAAAAAAAAGAAAGCACCATAATGTTTTTAAGAGCATGACATAGAATCCAAAATAAAATGGTGACCAAGAAATCAAGACAAGGTAAAAGTGGCAAAAAAGACAGTCTAGCAAAAAACAGGATCTGCACATGTTTTAGATGCTGAATATATTATAAAACAACTCGTTTAAAAACTGGTCTGCAAACTTGGAAAATATTGTAAAGAAAGAAAAATAAAAAATTCCATGCATTTGAAGAACCAAATAGATTCACATACATGAGAAATACAATAACCAAAATTTATAAAACTCGACATGATTGGCAACAAATATACTGCAGAAGAAAATTAAAGAAGATATCCATAATGTATCACAGAGAGAAAAAAGTTGGAAGTTTAAGAGAGGATACATAGAGCATATGGTTCCATGAGAAGGTCTAACATGTTGATTGGTGTCCCAAGGAAAAAGAATATGGTAAAAATAATTTGAAGAGGTAAAGGCTGGAAGTGTTTCAGGACTATTGGAAGACAACAATACACTAGTTGAAGAAGTCCAGTTAATTTCAAGTGGGATAAAGTAAAAGAAATGCATACCTAGTGTCTTCCAAGTAAAAACTATGGAAAATAAAAGAAGTCAAAGATTAAAAACATGCAACGTTTAAAGAAGTTTCAAAGACTGACAGTTTTTTCAACAGTACTTATGATATACATGATACCTTCAATGGACAGAAAAAAAATAAGTATCATTCCAGAATTACACTGTAGTCTGGGTTTTATTACTACAGTGAAAATGATGTAGACAACCTAACTTTATAAGAAAAGGGATTTGTTTAGTTCACAGTTTTGAAGGCTGAAAATCCAAACAGCTTGCTATAGATACTGGCAGAGTGTCTATAACATATCTCAAGGCAACTGTAGGAGTATGAAGAGAAAGAGATCACATCTAGAAACAGGAAGTCAGAGGGGCTTATAATAGCCTGAGAATTACCTTAATCCCAGTGACCTAAGATGAACTACAGGTGTCAATTTCCAAATTCCATACCACTCCCAATACACCATCCTGGGAACCACGCTTCTAGCACATGAACTTTTGAGAACACTCCAAACTACATCCAAGCCACAGCATATATTAGCAAAATTATGTTTGAAGAATGAAGAAAAATGACTCTATACTTGCCATAATGAAGTAAAGGAAAGCAGATTACCTTCTAACTTTTACTAAAACACAAGATAAAATATATGAACCAGTGGTAGGCAAAGACAACAAAGGACAGGGTCTTAAAAAGAAGGAAAAATGAACAAAATGAGCTCTGCGATTCCTCAGATTTACTATACAGAAATAGCATAGGGTTAAGCAGAGTTTGCAGGCCATAGTACATTTATGAAGGCGGGCCACATTTTGGACCTAAAAAATGTATCACATGTCAAATTATGAATGTATTCATATCAAATATGATATGGATGTATTCATATCAAATATGATATGAATCATATCATACAAAGTGTTTTCTGACCACAATTTCATTGTCAATTTTTTTTTTTTTTTTTTTGCAGTACTGGGGCTTGAAATCAGGGCTTCACCTTGAGCCACTCCACCAGCTCTGGTTTTGTTTTTTTGTGTGTGTGTGAAGGGTGTTTCAAGATAGGGTCTCACAAAGTC